CTCAGGCTGGTTTCGAACTCCTGAGCTCAAACAATCCACCCGCCTCGGCCTCCCAGAGAGCTAGGATTACAGGCGTGAGCCACCGCGCCCGGCCCTTGCTAGTGTTTTGTTGAGGATTTCAGCATCCATATTCATAGGTAATATTGGTCGATAGGTTTCTTTTCTTGTGATGTCTTTGATTTGGGTATCAGGGTAATACTGGCCTAACAGAATGAGTTTGGAAGTGTCTCCCATTCCAATGATGAAAGTGTAACCCATTATTGAAAGTGGGTTACTAAAGTCTCCAACTATTACTGTTCAATTGTCTCTTTTCCCCTTCTCTTCTATTTTCTGGAAGAATTTGTGAAAGACTGCTGTAAATTCTTCTTTAAACTTTCAGTAGAATTCACTAATAAAGCCATCTGGGCCTGAGCTTTTCTAAGTGACAATTTGTTACTTGCTAATTCAATTTCTTTACTTGTTCTAGATTTATTCAGATTACTTATTTCTTATTGAATCATTTTCAGTAGTTTATTTCTGGAAAATTTTCCATTTTATCTTAGTTATCTAATTTGTTGGCCTTAACTTGTTCATAGCATTGCCTATTAATACTTTTTATTTCTGTGACATCAGTATTAATATACACTCTTTCATTCATAATTTTAGTTATTTGAGTCCTCTCTTTTTGTCAGTCTAGCTAATCTTTTCAAAGAACCAACTTTTGGTTTTGTTGGTTTGCTTTATTGTTTTTCTATTCTCTATTTCATTAATTTCTACTCTAACCTTTATTATTTCTTTCCCTCTGCTAATTTGCTCATCTTTTTCCAGTGTCTTAAGGTAGAATGCTAGATTATTGATTTGATTTTTTTCTTCTTTTTAAATATAGCCTTCTATATGTAATATAGTCTGGCCATAAATTTCCTTCTAGGCACTTTTTTACCTGAATCCAGTAAATTTTGGTATGTTGTTTCTCCATTTCATTCATCTCAAAGTATTTCCTAATTTCTCTTGTGATTTCTTCTTTGGGTATCTAAAAGTGTATTGTTTAATTTCCACATATTTTTGAACTTCCCAAATTTTCTTCTGTTATTTACTTCTAATTTCATTTCTTTTTGGTCAGAGAACATACTTTATATGATTTCAATCCTTTTAAATTTATTGAGGCTTGTATTATGGCCTAGCATATGGTCTTTCCTCAAGAAGGTTCCACGTGTACTTGAAAAGAATGTATATTGTGCTGTTTTTGGATGTGCTGTTTTGGATGGATGTCTATTAGGTCTAGTTCATTTTTATTGTTATTCAAA